GTACTAATATCCACGTGTATGCGGTCTAAGTACTGAATGAGAATAAGTAGTAGTATTAAAAGGGGGTTTTATTGATCAGAAGGTGACCTAATACAATCTAGATGGCTATCCCGAAGGCCGACTAACTGCGGTCGGGCTGCTCTGTAAATAGCCTATTGATCGTCCAAAAAAGTCCCCCTCACTGTAGCTGCCGTGGGTATTTATAGCCTTTGGGCGGAGACAAACCTCCGGCCTACCGGCGAGCCTTCTCTGTCAATACATAACATTGCCACGTGCCTCTCTCCGAAATCTCTGTCTCTTCGTAAAATAAAGGCACGATGACAGGGAAGTAACTCCGGTAGGGAAGTCCACCGGTCGAGTCCGACCGCCTTGTCTGAACGACGCCCGACCCAAAAGGTCCTGCACAAACTACAAGAAGAACCCATCTCATTTCGGTCGGGATATATCCTACCAAGAGCCCCCCAGCCCAGGGCGTTTTGGACCGCCCGGGAAAAAACGGGACGGGATGGAAAGTCCTTGTCACTCGGGCTTCAATCCCGACCGGCCAGCTGTCGCTAGTCGTGCCACGTGTCGGTCTGCAGGCGTCTTGGGGTCTGTAACGGTCAAATCGCGCAAGTGGGAATTTTCCCGCCAAAACTTTTCCTATAAATAGGCCTCTCCGAGGTTCATTTTAACTTTTACCACCCCATGAGAATCGATCGGAGCTTCCCGAGCAAGCAGCACTGTAGATCGATCGAGCAGCGCACTTTTTCCTCCCGACAAGCTTCACTTATCGGTAAGTCGCATCTTCTCCTTCTTTTTATTTATTTTCTTACTATCTACCCACAACCTGTCCTGTTGACCCACTAACCCCGACCAAAAGTAACTGACCCCTTCCGCTGAAACGACCATCTCCTTTATGAAGGGGACATGTCAGACTCGGACAGCCAAAACGTCTCGGGGGCGGACTACGACAACACAGTCACTAGCGAAGATACACAGATAGAGGTGTCTTCGCCCGAAGTTAATGAGGTCGTTCAACGACCGAGTAAAATTCCCGATCGGAAAGTTCTTCTAGCTCAAAGAACTCATCGGGTTCGAGCAGTTCAAGCAGCGATAGCGATAGCAGCAGCAACACCTCAACGAGCGGTCGTGAATCTCTGAACGAGCATGCTCGAGAGACGCCTACGAGAACCATCGGGGCCGATCATGGAGCTCCCGCTCCTTCACGCGAACGAGAAGCTACGCCCGATCCGATCGATGAAGAACCGACCACAACAGAAACCGGAGAACCGGAGTTCGTCTTCCTCAACAGCGAGAGCGTCGAGCAACAAGAGTGCCTCTTGACGACTCGCGAAGCGGCGAAAATTTCAGCAAGGCTAAGCAGCCAGGTAAAATTCGACACCCGTAGGAGCCTCAGGGGATTAAGGAACCACACCAAGGGAAGTGGATCGGGACGCATTTTGACTCACTGCCGGCCCCGATCACGTTCCCCTTCTCTCCTTTACTGACCGCCTTCTTAGGCTTTTACCAGGTCTTGCCCGGTCAGATATGCCCGAACGCCCATTCCATATTAGTGTGCTTTCCGCAGATCTGCGCTCGGCACGACGTCACGTGCTCAATGGAGCTGTTCAATTATATCTACATGGTCAAGCCCTTAGCAGCTAAGTACGGTGGCGGATTCCTAATGGTTCAGTCACGGGATCACTTGTGTTCGATTGATTATCTACCCGGGAATAACCGAGGATGGAAGAACAGAATCTTCTCGGTCAAGTACGACCCATGCCGCCACCTCGATACGACCAAGAGAGAAAGTATAAACCTCGACCGACGGGCATATAAATTGCTGTAGCGGCCCCACAAGCCGAGTCGACCGACGAAGGTCTAACACTAACTATATTTTCCCGGCCGTTTCCCGCCGATTGATTGTTATTTTTAACCTTGTTCTTTTTTATTGCAGAAATGGGTCCAACTCGTGGTTTCCCAACGACCAATACACCCCGAGCCCCCCGAGCTAAGATGACGCTCGGAAAGAAGGCTGCTGAGGTCGAGGCATCGGCCGGGCAGGAGGTTGCTTAGGTTTCCATTCCGACGGCACAACCAGTCGGCGATTCCACAACTGTGCCGAGCGATACCACGACCGATCCACTAGCCCCTCAGGTCCTTGGTCGAAAGGGCAAAGGAAACGCGTCCGTGAAGGACGTAGAAGAGATGGGCGCTCTTAAGCGTCGTCGCATGCAAAGCCCTCCGAGCAGAGTCGTCTCCAGCGGGGAACAGTCGCTGGTCACCCGGCTGAACAATCTACAGCCAGTCGGGGAGGATAGGAGCAAATGGACACCGGCGCAAATAGCCGAGAGGGGTGCCCAAGACCTAGTCGAGGTTTGTCTTATTATCTTTTCAACTTTTATTTTCACAATTTTAGTCGTTCGAGCTAACGTGTTAATTTTGTAGGTATCCCGAACGATCCAAAGCTTCCAATACCGGGCCTTGCTAGCCAACGAAGTCGAGGCCCTAAAGAAGGTCGCCGAGCGGCGTGGGAAGGAGAATGCCGATCTTCAACAAGATCTGAAGGCGGCCAAGGAAACTCAAGCGATCGCCGAGAAGGCCGCTCGGGTTGCACTGAGGGAGGCGGATGAGCTGAAAACCCGGTTGGGCAACCTAGGAGGGTTGGCCAAGTTCCTGTGTCGGGACGAGCCTACAGCCGACAAGTTCTTCCGAGAGCTTATGAAGAACTAGCTCGGGGAGAAAAAGGTGTGGTCGTTCAGCCATTGGGCCTACAAGTCCGGCCAACGGGCCATGCGGGAAGAGACCCGGTCAATCATGGAAGAGGTCTTCGAAGGTGACGACCTGAAGGCGGTGCTGACCACTCTCCCGGACGAGATTATCGATCCAGGCCCGATGCCCTTCACTGAGTTGTCTACCTCCGAAGCCACAGCCGAACCAAGCGCCAGCGACAAGGATGAAGGAAAGGTCGTGTAGTCTCCGACCGATCTTGTAACTTTTCTTTTAAGTTTTTGTGAACTTAACTCACTCGGGAGCCCAGTCCCGTTTGTGCCGGGCAACTCTTTTGATTTTGAATGAACAGATCGTTTTTCTTATCTTCTATGTTTTTGCATTTTACGTTTTTACGCATATGCAAACTTTTGTTGCTTTTAGCTCGACCTTTTCGTTCGAGTTTGTATTCGACCAATGTTGGCCGTTATCCTTAACCCTAGCCCCCACACTACCGTGCACATGAGGCACGAGTGAGTGTGACAGTGGTAGAGAAGGTAGGCTGATCGGGCATATGTTCGATGCTCTGTGTTCCCGATCGATGGCGTGACACGACCGTCCGCCGAGGATGAGCGTTTTCTTCCGGACGTTACAATCCGCCCGGATGAGATGTAGAGGATTTTATAATCCGTTAGGTTTTTACCCCTACTGGTCGGTGCCGAGTGAGGGGTGTGTACCTGTATCGGCTATAGCCGAATTTTTTTTTAATCCCGGTATAATCGGGCAAGTTCTAGCGACATTGTGGTCGTTGGGCTTTCGCCCGACTCGATTGTTGATGCCGAATCTTGATCAGATAAGTCACGATCGAAAGAACTTTCGTAATGGATTTAACCGAAGTACTTGCTATTTACACATATTGATAGTCGGTCGAGCCGTCGGGCACAGACGAGCGAGCAATCATCGATTGACATTACAAACTTTTTTCCCGTACGCAGACGGACGTACTCATACATATTGTATATATACAACAAAAGATGGGCGTGCCCCCTCGCAGGTTGAGCCCCCACCCCATCCGAAGTTACACAATAACATCAATGTCGAAATAAGACCAACTTCTCAGAATTCCATGTGTCATCGATCACTCTCCCGGTCGTTGTTTCCAATCATAAGTGTCCGGGCGAACGACCGATGTGATTACATATGGTCCCTCCCAATTCTGAGCTAGTTTACCTCCTTCCAGGGGTTGACTTGCCTCTTGTCGTCGTAGCACATAATCTCCGACCTGGAAGTATCGCGGATGAACCCGGACGTTTTTAGTACTCTTCACTCTTTTTTGGTATTCGGCCATGCGTCTAGCCGCGATTTCTCTTTTCTCATCCACACCATCTAGATCTACGGCCATAGAATGTTCGTTCTCTTTTGCATTGTATGAGCGTTCTAGAGCCGTCGGGATCCATGCCTCGATCGGTAGGCGCGCTTCAGCTCCATAAACTAGAGCGAATGGTGTTTCCATCATTGCCTCTCTAGGAGTCGTGCGATATGTCCAAAGCACATATGGGAGCTCCTCGGCCCAACTACGACCAGCTGAGTGCAGCTTCTTCTTCAATCCTTCCAAGATAGTTCGATTGGTATTTTCCACTTGGTCGTTTCCCTGCGGGTAAGCCACTGATGATCGGATCGAAGTTGTCCCGATCGTCGCCATGAAGTTCTAAAACTATTGGCTCAGAAATTGTCGGCCGTTATCACTTATCAAGTGAACGGGAACACCAAACCGAGAGATGACATTCCGTCATAAAAATCTAGCACATTGCTGAGAAGTGATCGTGGCCAAGGGCTCGGCCTCAATCCATTTAGAGAAATAAACAATTGCCACAATAACAAAGCGCAGTCGCTCGGACAACTGCGGAAAATGCCCCAAGATATCCACCCCCCCCCCCCCCCTCCCCATCGAGCGAATGGAATGACAGTCGTGACCGGTTGATAAAAGGTTGTTGGACGACCAGGCATCCGAGCGTAAAGTTGGCATGTTTCACAACTTCTAGCAAGCTTCTCACAATCCAATTGAATGGACGGCCAATAGTACCCGATCACCATGATACGCCGAGCAAGCGATCGCCCTCCTTGGTGCGACGAACATATGCCCGAGTGTAACTCGTTCATGACCAGGTCCGCTTCAAAAGAATTCAGACATCTCCGCAAAGTACCACCATATGATCGTCTATATATAACCGTCCATCTTGCACTTGGAATCTTGGTGCCCTTAATTTCGCCTTCCGAGCCCGTTGTGGATCATCCGGTAAACGGTCATGCTATAGATATTCCATTAACTCGGAGATCCAAGTTTCCTCAGCCGGTTGAATAGGGACGACCGACAAACGGTGAATACTATGTCTCGGAATCATCAAAATCTGAGCAATCTTAAACATATGCTCAGGTGCGTCTTGTGCTAACTTCGATAGGATATCCGCATCAGCAATATCCAATCGGGGAACATGGCAAACAGTATACGCCTGGAATAAGTTCAGTTTCTCCATTGCCAAGTCACCGTAAGCTTGCAACCGTTCTCCATTGACTTCATATTCGCCAAAGACCTGCCCGACCACCAACGTGGAATCAGTCTGGGCCTGGATATAATCAACCCCCAAATCCCGAGCGCACTGTAGGCCATTGACGAACGCCTCATACTCTGCTTCGTTATTAGTTGGGGTAAACTGATACATTAGAACATAATAGACTTTAAACCCCTCCGGGCTCGTGATCACAACTCCACCGCCTGCTCCCTTTTTGCTACTCGACCCATCAGTGGCCAACGACCACCAGGCCGCCTCGGGATCTTGCATGTCTGAAGGTTGGGTATCCCGAGCGGTGCACTCGACCAAAAAATCGGCCAAAGCCTGGCCTTTGATAGGCGGTCGCGGTCGGTAGTCCATAGCATATTGTGTTAACATTAACGCCCATTTGACTAAGCGTCTAGATGAAGAAACGGTGTGGAGGACTGCTCCGATTGGTTGATCCGTCAAAACACGTGTGAGTCGTCCTTGGAAATAAGGAGCTAATTTCTTCTCCGCCGTATATAAGGCATAAACAATCTTCTCCAATCGGGAGTAGCGAAGCTCCGGTCCAAGGAGCGCATGGCTCACATAGTAAATCGGTCGCTGAACCCCTTCCGGGTTTATCCGACATAGCACCGCACTGACAGCCCGATCGGATACGGCCAAGTAAACATCAAGCTCTTCCCCAGGCTCGGGTTTAGATAGCACGATCGGAGACATTAAATACTCCTTCAACTCATCAAAAGCTGATCGACACTCATCGTCCCACACAAACCCATTAACCTTGCGCAGCACTTTAAAGAAAGGTAAAGCGCGCTCTGCCAACTTTGACAGGAATCTGCTCAGGGCTGCCAATCTCCCGGTCAATTGTTGTACCTCCCGAACGGTTGTGGGTGGTTGCATGTCGAGAATTTCTTCGACTTTGGCGGGATTGGGCTCAATCCCTCTCTTCGTCATCATATAACCCAAGAATTTCCCGGTCTATACAGCGAACGTGCACTTGGTCGTGTTCAAACGTAGCTGGTACGTTCGCATTATCTGGAAGCACTTTCGGAGATCTCGAGTGTGGTCCGCTCGGTCCCGACTCTTCACCAGCATGTCATCAATATAAGCTTCCATGGTCCAGCCTAGCAGGTCCTCGAAGAGCATGTTGATTATGCGCTGATATGTCGCCCCTGCATTTCATAGGCCGAACGACATAACCCGGTAGCAATATAAACCATCAGGCGTGACGAACGCCGTTTTGCTCTCATCTTCATGGCTCATCATGATCTGATGATAACCCTTGAAGGCATCCATGAAACTCATTACCTCGACCCCAGCGGTTTCATCGACCATCTAATGAATGCTGGGCAGGGGATAAGGATCCAACGAGCGCACCTTATTCAGATCGGTGAAGTCAATGCACATTCTCCAGGAAGAAGGCTTAGGAACCTGCACTATATTGGCCACCCATTCGGGATAGGTGACCGGGCGAATGTGCCCAATCGCGGCCATCTTCTTCACCTCTTCGCGAACGAACTCCCGGCTATCGGAGGATAAATGCCTTGTCGTCTGTTTGATCGGTTTAGCAGCAGGATCTACAACCAATCGATGGCAAATAACAGTTCGATCAATCCCGGGCATATCCTCGGGCCCTCATGCAAACATATCAGTAAATTCCCAGAGGATTGCTAATACTTCCAATCGAAGTTCATGAGTAAGGCCCCGACCGATCTTAACTCTTCGCTCAGGTTGGTCCTTTGACAAAGGAACCTCCTCTATCTATTCAGACGGCTCAGGTTGTTCTTTTCGGTCCTTGACGGCATCCTTGACGATTGTGTTTACTCGGGAAGAACTTGCGTCACGCTGATTGACCGCTCGTGTATAACATTTCCTCGCCGACTGAGCATCACCGCGTAGAACTCCAACCCCAGCCGGAGTAAGGAATTTCATACACAATTGAGGCATAGATATGATTCCCCCGACCTTCATGATGGCCGGGCGGCCTAGGATGACGTTGTCGACACAATGAAGATTCACCACAACAAATTCCATCTGCGTTTTGACAGATTAAGCGCAATGTTTTGACTTATCCTTCCCATCCGGTCCGGGATGAGGTAGACGAATGAGGTTGCAGGACTGGGCAAATTGCATGGCTTCCGCAGCCGATCGGTTCAACGCCGTGAAATCTCCTGGACAGGCTCGGGGTCGTGGGTGACCTTCGACCGACCGGTTATCCGACCGACCAGAGGGCTTCCGAGAAGTTCTGACCTCTTGGGACCATTTAATGGCATTTGCCTCTCCAGCTTTGGCATAATCCGTCACTCTACGGAGCGCTTCTTTATAGGTTGCAGGTGGGTTAGGTCATCCATGGGTTCGACCTCTCCCACCGCCGCTTTCCACTTGACTAAGAAACCAGTCAAGCTCTCTCCTTCCAGTTGCTTAGCCTTCTCAAGATACATGTAAGGCTTCCGGGTGACTTTGGAAGTTATGAACTTCCGATTGAATTTTGCCGCCAAGCTAGTGAAATCAGAAACGGACCCCGGTTGTAACGTTCTGAACCACTTGGCTTGGAAGAAAAGCTATCTACCTTTTTAGAGAGAAGGTAGAGCTAGAATTTGGAAAGTGTAAGGAGAGAAATGGGGGTGTTCTACTAGGTTAGCTTACAATACTAACACAAGGTGAAAAGTCATGAATACCCTTACTAACATGAAGAGGTGTAAAGAACAAGGGAACTCCTTACAAAGCTTAAGGTACAACCTTGACTTTGGGGTTGACTAATCAATTACTAGTCCCCGACTATTGAATTTTCAGGATTTTAGGAATTGAATTACCAATTGAAATAGGATTAATTGTTTAATTAATCCCTTAATCGAATTTGGATTTCGGTGTGTCACAATAAGTGTTGATATGGACTTCCGGATCCGTCCGCCCGCCATATTCTTTGTTTCCAAGAATTCGCAAGTCGAGGGGGTAGGGTTGAGCCATGATCTCTGCCGTGAAGGGTGTCCGAAATAATGAAGCGATATGATCGGAAGGAGGCCTCAAGGCATGCTCGTTCTGCCACCGAGTAAACTCTGCGTGGAGGTCGTTCAACATTCCTCGGGTCTCATCTTGCTCGACCGTACGGGCTAGTTCCCGAGCCCGACGTCGACGATGTGCTTGACGCCCACTATGTCCTGACGACCCATGCTTGGCTAGCCGCTCGCATGGGAGAATCAACTGAGCGCCTACCTGGGTCCTGCGGTCCCAATCGTTGCCGCATTGCTGATCGGAGTCGCTCGAACGCACTTGCTCGATTGGCTTCTAGCTCGGGTTCTTCTGCCGCCTGGGCATGTGTTTCCTGCCGTGGTTCCTCTATGACCTCGGCCCCCTGCGATCCCAACCTCGAGCGAGCCGAGCGCCTAGTCCGGGGACCGGGCTCGGTCGGCATGGTCGGTTGGTTCGGGGGAGCGGAAGCTGGAGCCGTGTACGCAAGCATGTAGGGCGGATAATTGGCCGGTGGATAATACATTGGAGTCCCTGGCCAACAACCATATTGAGGAGGTGGTACTGGATATGGATAGTTTGCTGGAAACGGGTATTGTTGACCGGGTGTTGGATACATTGGTTGGATGTAGTTGATCGGGTTGGGAGCCACCGATTGAGTGGGTGAAAGATTGAGATTCAGGTCAATTGTCTGACCCTGGTGCTGTGTGTAGTTGTGGTCGGAATAGCTAGCTTCTTCATCCTCCGGTGCTTGATACATGAACGGATACATGATGATGATCGGAGTCTGATACGCGTCTACAATAACTTTTCGTACTGGGTCCCCACAGACGGCACCAAAATGATAGTACTAATATCCACGTGTATGCGGTCTAAGTACTGAATGAGAATAAGTAGTAGTAATAAAAGGGGATTTTATTGATCAGAAAGTGACCTAATACAATCTAGATGGCTATCCCGAGGGCCGACTGACTGCGATCAGGCTGCTCTGTAAATAGACTATTGATCGTCCAAAAAAGTCCCCATCACTGTAGCCGCCGTGGGTATTTATAGCCTTTGGCCGGAGACAAACCTCTGGCCTACCGGCATGTATCCCACGTAGCGTCCACGCGTCTTCACCTGGCGAGCCTTCTCTGTCAATACATAACATTGCCGCGTGCCTCTCTCCAACATCTCTATCTCTTGCTAAAGTAAAGGCACGATGACCGCGAAGTAACGCCGGTCGGGAAGTCCACCGGTCGGGTCCGACCGCCATGTCTGAACGACGCCCGACCCAAAAGGTCCTGCACCAACTACAAGAAGAACCCATCTCATGTCGGTCGAGATATATCCTACCAATTACTAATTTGGTCATTGATTTTTTTTTACCAATTAAGTCCCTCAACTTTAAAAATCTTAACCAATTTGGTCATCCGTTTATTTTGCCGTTAGGGTTCTGTTAACTTAGGACCAAATTGGAAATTAACTTTTGAATTAATTTCACTTTGGTCCCATGATTTTTGAGGTATTATCACTTTTAGTGCACAACATTACATTTTTTTCAATTTTGGTGCCTAACTATGTAATTTTTATTAGTTTTGGTGTTTTAAGCCAAACTAACAGCGAAATGTTGCTGGATTTTATATTTTAGGACAAAATCGCCATCTCAAGGAAATATCTTCAATATCGAAACAAAAGAAAAATCATATTAAGAGAAAAATAAGAGTTTGCCAATCGTCGACGTTATAAATCTCATAGATCTATGGTTAGTTTCAGCCCGTCTTTCCTATTATTCTCATCGATCAAACACATATAGATATGATTTTACAGTGGTTTTGTTTAGATATTGAAGACGTTTCCTTGAGATCACAATTTTACCCCAAAAAATATAAAAATCCGGTAATATTTTCATGTCAATTTGGTTAAAAAGACCAAAATTGGTAAAAAACAACAAAGTTAAGCACCAAAATTCAAAAATTCTAAAGTTGTGCACCGAAATGGTCACTTAACTATAGTAAAATTACCAATTTGATCATGAGTTAATGGATTTCTAACGGCAAAACTAACGGAGGACCAAATTGATTAAAAATTTTAAAGTTGAGCGACTTAATTGGTAAAAAAAAAATAGTCAAGGACCAAATTTGTAATTTGGCGAATTCAGCGTAAACAAAAATGTGGTACTTTTGTATCTAAACGACTAAACGAGAATGTTATGCGAATGCATTTGGAATTTAAACCAAACAAATATATATATATATATATATATATATATATATATATGCTTACTGTAAATGTGTAATAGTGTCAAAGGTTCTCTTCAAAGGATTGCATATTTTGTAGGTTATTTAGGTATGGCCCTATGCTTGTAAATCTCCATGTGTTGTAACTCATCAATTTTGTACGCATAATTACGAGAATAAATTGCATTGCCTTTTACTATTTTTATTTAGGAGTATTTATATTCGTTCATTGTTTCAATTATGCTTAGCTTATTGGTGAAAAAATTCTAATTATTTTTATTTTATGACCATTATATATATATATATATATATATATATATATATATATATATATATATATATATATTTGACGATAATACGCTTAAATTTAACACTTATTTAACAGAAATCTTAACGGGGAACTATTTATGATTAAAAATGAAAGTCAAGGTACGTGTTTTGGTCGAATTGAAAATCGATGACTAAAATGAGTACTAGCCGAATAGTCAGAGGATCATTTATGGTATTAACTCTTATTATAACATAACAATAAATAAAATTATCAATTAATTATTTTTGAATTAACTCATACAATCTTTTAACTTCATATATATTGAGGGAGGGCTCTTGTATTTATTCTGTCCCATACCTATAAAATGATAGGATCGGACTTACTTTCCTAATCCTTGGGAGCTTGGAAAATTCTACTTTCCAAATCATTGTGAGATTGGAAAATTCTACTTTAATTTCCTAGGATTAGGATTTAATCTTGTTGCCAAATAATATAAT